TAATTATACTTCCTAGGAATGTGTGTATGATTCAAGCCATGTAGCTTGCTCCATGTTATGGAAACCAGCATAAAGAGATTGGGAAAAGTAGGTAGAATGAGAGAGGGATCAAGGGAGAGAGAAAGAGAAAAAGAGACAGAGCAAAATTTCTAGCACCCCAACTGAGTCCAGCTTACCAGTCGTCTCAGCAAGATCCCATATATGTAAGCAAACACCGTTTGAAATTATATCCCGGTTGAGCCTCCACACACCCAATGCCCTTGGTGATGCATCACATGGAGAACTATCAGCTGAGCTCCATTGATCCATAGAATCATGAGAGGAAACAAATTTGACAATGTTTTAAGTCACCACATTTGGGATGTTTTTTCCAGTCCAATAGATGATTGAAATAGGCAGAGGGATAAGTATAGTGTTGTGGCAGTTTTATCAGTAAATTGTTTTTCAACTTCAAATTCTGCTTTCTTTGGCCCTTCACATGATCTTCCTTTGGCAGCCGGCATGATTTTTTTACCAGTAGAGGGCGCCAGACACACATTCCTAGAGGGAGGGCTCTGGGGGTGCTTTCTACGGGCTCCTGGAGAACATCGTCCTTCCTACTTTGCTTGGCATTGCTGGGTGCCTGTGGGATACATTTCTCCATATTTAAGTGTCAGGCAGGTTTTTTTGTTTGTTGATTGGTTGGTGTTTGCTTGTGCCTTTTCTTTTGTTTTTTTCCCCAGCTCTCCACTCTGGCAGCCATGTGGATAGGAGTTCCAGACAGTGCAAACCTGCACTGCAGCCCAGATGCTTACTCCCTTCACCCTTTCTTCAAGCCCTGGGTCTAGAGCGCTGGGTATCTGGCGAGCCCACCATCCAACCTTCATCTTGCGCAGCCATCGGAGTTGCCTTGGCCCAAGCTGTAGTCAGAAGTGAGCTTGTTCCTGCAGAGGTGGGCGGGGGGACTCTCCAGCTCCTGGCCCCATCAGCACTATGACATACCCTACTCCCTCTGGGTAGCCAGCCATTAGCCTCAGCTTTCAGAGGCCCACAGACACGATAAGCTCTGGTCCCCAGAACCACCGCCGTGCTCCTTTCCCTGTGCGCGTGCCTGCCAGCCTTGATGCACCTGGACCGTGAAGAGTTACTTCCCTCTTGCCCGGTAACAGGACCAGCTCAAACCCTGGAAAACCACTGAACTTCTCTATCCAGTGAATCATAAGCACACTTTTTCAACTGGTCTGAATCTTCCAGCCATTTGTCCAGACAGGGGGTTATTGAATTTTATTTTGTATTTTTCTTTATTGTGTGAGCTGCTGATTGGTGTTAGGCAGTAGCCTATGGTTTGGGCTCAAATTGATTCAAATTTACAAGGTTTCTCTTTAGTTTATCCTTAATACACATTTTTGTTTTTACAATCACGTATGAGCTGTTCATTAGAAAGCATTCATAGCCTATTACTAAATCAGACATATATGTAATCCTCCATACATGGTAATTTAACAGTAGAGAAAAAGTAGAGTAACACTTCATAATGTCACCAATACTGTGTTCTTCTACAAAGGAAGAGACGGTCGATCAAATCAAGGGTCTTTTGCCCAATGTTAAGGCCAGCAAGTTTGATCTTCAATTATCTAGGTCAAAGGTGATTTATTATCTTCTTTTGAGTCAAGTCATTCAGTTGGTAATGGATGCAACTCATGCTCTCCCATCTAGGAAATGACTGACAACCCCGATACTGGAAAATGATGGCAATGAGGCAGAATGAAAGCATTTTCCAGGCAAAAGTGTTTACAAGAACCCATCTGAACGTTTTACTCAATTGGAATATAACCCAAAGCTAAACTCCAGAAAGCGAATAAAGCATAGCAAATTGATTTGTCACTGCGAATTTTAGAGTATATGACCAGATTTGTACATATCCGAACAGTCATTAACAGTATCAACTCAATCCATTTATATAAATTTCAAAGGCATCTTGCTGTGATGATAATTAAAAGCAACTTCAACTTTTTACTTTTCTAAAATTACTGTATCTTTAGGTCAATAAAAATGTTTTCACATTTCTAATTCATGGAGCTTTTTTGTCCATCAAGAGAACAGTTTGATAAATATACTATTTATTATTGTAATAATTAAATTGCAAGGATGATGATCCTTGGAAAGAATTTGTTTTCAAAGGGAACAAAATCTTCCAGATCTTTCAAGGCAGATCTGGAAATATGTAGAATTTACAGCTTCTGAATTAAAAAGAGATCACAGCATAATCAAGATTCTTTGTTGCAAAGATTTTGGCTAATTTAGGGATAATTGTATTAAAAATAATGAGGCTGGAGAATCAGTGTTAGAAATTAGACATGATCCAATGTGAGTCTGACTGGCCGCAACCACAATGAAACCAGACCAGCAGATAAGAACAGGCTATGTAGGACCTGCAGATGCCATTCCCAGAGGACACAGCTAGTGTTGAACACCTCTGCTGCCGCAGGTGCTGCCACCATTGGGCAGCACTACCATGGAGAATGTCATAACTGCCCCTCAACTTTGGACTTACACATCCAATCAGCTAGACTGGGTCATGTGCCATGCCATGGTTTTGATATGGTTTGTGTGTGTCCCCTCAGGTTTCACACATTGACATTTAATCTCCATTGTGAAGTAGTAAGCAAGTGGGAACTTAATCTGACTATGGTGTTTAGAGGTAAAGCTTTTTTAGGGTTAGATAAGGTCATTATGGTGCAGCCCCCTGGTTGAATAATGGCTTTATAAGAAGAAGGAGAGAAACCAGAAAACACACACACACACACACACACACACACACACACACACATGTGCATACACACTTCCTGTCTTTTGCCATATGATGCCCCATACTACATCACAACTCTGCCATTAAGAAGGTCATCACCAGATTCGGGTTGTTAAATATCCAGAACTGTGAGTAAAACAAACCTCTTTTCTTTATAAAGTTACTCAGTCTCAGATAATTTGTTACAGTAATAAGTTACTAATGGACTAATACAAGCACCTACCTGCAAATGGGATGTGAAAGAGAACATTCGGAGTTTCCTTAGTGAAAGTTAGGGTACTACATCCCACTGACACCACACATTGTGTTAGATTCCTGAAAAACAAAAGTTGGATATGAGGACAATCTGAATTAAAATAAAAACTATTTATAATATCCATCTCTACAGTGCAGAAAGAGTGTCACTCACAGATCTTGTTAGTTTCTCTATTATCCCAGAATAATAATTTGTTCTTCACATCACACATCCTGCCTCCATTCTTCTTTCTGCCCAACCCTGTCCCATCATTCCACATAAATGTGTAGGATCCATCATTAACTGTCTCCCTACCACTACCACAGCCATCTCCTTCTACCTCCTGTTAGATCTCTCTCCCCAGATGGTATAATAGCCCATCATTGGTGTTTTTTTGTTTGTTTGTTTGTTTTGATTTGGTTTGGCAGTGCCGGGGATCAAACCCAGGGCCTCATACATACTAGGCAAGACCTCTACCACTGAGCTACATTCCCAGTCCTCATCACTGGTATTTGAAGAACAAAGAACAAGGATGTGAGGAGGTGAGGCAGAGGGCCATGTGCAGAGGAATCCTATTCTCACTCTGGTACCCATGGTTAGAAAGCTGAACAGATAGGTAATACAAATGGGTCAAAGTTAGGCCCAGTATATTGGTTCCTGTGCTATTTACTTCTCTATAACAGGCTAGGGTTTTTAGTTTGATGCCTGCCAGCACCAAATTCAAATTCTTACATATCCTGTTCCTTTCAATAGTCCCAATAAGTATATTTTTTGCCATTTAGAGCTTCCTGCTTTTGCATATCCCTCAAAATGGCACCCAACATCTGCTATCCATGCATAAATAAATTCTTCACTATTAAAAACCCCAATAGAGCTACAGCCCTTTGAAGCTCTCTGGCCCACAGACTCCTGCTGAGTGTCATTGCCAAGACCTGTGAGTATCCTCTCCAACCCTCCTCTCCTCTGAGAGGTCCCCTTCTCTCTGGTAGCCCCATGACCACTGCTATCTCTGTAAAGTCTTCTGGTATGAAGGACTCCTCTCCTATGCAACCCTGCCTCCATGGTGCCCAATAAGCTTATTGTAAAGTATTGCCATCTCATCTTTACCTTGATAAGCCCTGCAATTCTCCCACTCACCGTCGTACCTTACCCATGATTCAGAACCCATCCATAATCCAGGAATACATTTCAGCTATATCAAGGGCTAAATAGGCTTCTTTGAACTAATCTGGAAACATAAATATGTAGTACGACCATCTGTGTTTGTTTCCCAGGACTGAGGGTGTTTGGGGATGTGGAACTACCAGTACTGAAATTAGAAAAGGCCCCAGAAAATCCGTGATGAGTTGATCTCTCTAGGAACAACTGTTTCTATGGGCAAATGCATTCCACACTCCACACAACTGAGCACATGTCAGCTTAGTGTATACAACCTTTGAAGACAATCTGTTGGAAAGTATCTGCTCTTACTTCACTCCACACACTGTCTTTTAAGTTAGGTAGACACGGATATGCTTCTCTGACAGATTTTATTGAGATCTTCATGTTCAAAAATATTTTAGAGATCAAACCCAGGATACCAAGGATATCAGGAGAAAATTCATGGCTTGGCTTAAAGTCAAAGGAAGATTTTATAGTGGTTGAAGAAAAGAGCCAAGAAATAGCTAGAAACTTGATAATATTTCTTCTTTAGAAATATTTCTTTTAAAACTTGATAATTTCTGGTTTCTGGTCAAAGTCGATGCCAGGCGGACTGGAGAGGCCATGCTGAACACGAGCCCAGTTGTCAGGGAACCTGCCTTGGAGTCTTCAATTTTATCAACAATAAGATTGCAAGGTCAGCTTTTGTGTTAGTTAGCATTCCATTGTGGTGACAAGATACCTGAGGAAAATCACCTTAGAGGAGGAAAGATTATTTTGCCTTATGGTTTCAGAGTTTTTAGTTCATAGAAATCTTCAGTCTTGCTTTTAGGTCTGTGGTGAAGCTGAGCATCATGGCAGAGAGGGCATGGTGGAAGAGAGCTGCTCACCCTATGGAGGCTGGGAGGGAGAGGGAGAGAGAGAAGGGAAAGGGAAAGGGTCTAAGGACAAAATAGACCCTTCAAAGGCATGCCCCAGTGACCCACGTCTTCTAACTAGTCTTCCACGTCTTCTGAAAGTTTCCACCACCTTCCAATAGTACCTCCAGCCTGAGACCAAGCCTTCAGCACATAGGCCTTTGGGGGAACTCCATATCCAAGCAATAATAGTTCTGCAGGTGGGAAAGTTTTCATGGTTGAAAACTGCTAACACCAAGAAAACCAGACTCAAAGACTTTGGTCAGGGCCGTCAATTTGGGCGAAGCTTTCAGGCACTACTAAATACGTTTCCTTGGCAGCCAGGAAAAACAATAATAACAAAACCCAATTGGGGTGGACTCGTTGCCTAAGTTTAAACTCCTGGATTATTATGCTTTTAGTAGAACATGGTTGGAATGTGTGCTTATCCTGCTGTGTCTGTTAGGGTTCTCTCTAAAAACAACCTGAGAAAAGAACTTGGGTGTAGGACGTTGTTTATCTGGGAGATGATCCCAGGAAACGAGAGTATAGAAATTGAGAGAAGGAAAAAGAGAAGAGAGAAAAGTCAATAAAGGAAGGGTACTACGTCAAGGTCACTGCCATGGGCCGTGTGGGCTCAGTTTTGTTAAAAATAATGAAAAGCAAAAAGTTCCTGTGAGGAAAGAATGTGGGAACAGCTCTGCTGGGCAAGTCTGGCTCAAGGTCTTTCTAAAGGGTTCTGTTAGTTGTTGGCTGTGACTAAAGGCTTGTCTGGGGCAGAGGATCTCTCTCCAAGGTGACTCCCTCACTCTGCTGCAAGGAGGTACTGGCTTCTGTCCAAAGTCCCAACAACATGGCAGCTGGCTTCCCACAGCAAGGATCCAAGAGGCCACAATGGAACACATGACACATTCACACACCATCGCTCCTTCCATGTGCTGTTGATCACACAGACCAGCTTTGATTCATCATGCAAAACCTACCTGAAGGCATGGAAGCTTATCGGTGGTCCTCTTGGAGGCTGGCCTCCTTTTAGCCTTGGTTTTCTATCCTGGTTGTCCATTAGTGCATGATTAATGAGCTGATTCATATAAGGTTCTTAATAATTATCTGGTTTAGTAAATGCTCAATACATGATAGCTAGCACTATTGTTACGAGCTTCTATCTTCTTTTCTCTTTCTTCTACCAGGGGAAGACCATCTTCAAACCTCCATACACTAATTTACAGTCATTGCTGGACACATGGCCCAAAGACCCTGAGACTACTCCGTATCCAAGTAGAACGACCAAATGCAAAATTGAAGTTTTTGAAAAGCAGCAGATCACCTAAAAGCTGGAGAGCTCTCTCAGTTTGAGAGCTGTGATAGGATTATTTCTGTATTAACATTTCTGCACTCAATTCAAGCCATCCCTGCCCTGAAGTCTCAGTTATACCTTCCTTCTCTCCTGGCATCATTCTTGCTAAGGCATTCGCCTGAGAGTGGCCAGAGATTATAAAACTCACCTCTGAATTGCCCTTCCTATCCTTTTACATCCCTGGCTTTTACCTGGTCCCTTTGTAACCAGAATAACATTCTGATGATTTGCCTGGCTTGACTCCTTTGGGGCTGTGTGCAGAGATTTTGTTTTGACTGGGGATTGAACTGAGGGGCACTCAATCACTGAGCCACATCCCCAGCCCTTTTTTGTATTTTATTTTAGACAGGTCCCACTTTGTTGCTGAGGCTGGCTTTGAACTCTCAATCCTCCTGCCTCAGTCTCCTGAGCCACTGGGAATACAGACATGCAACACCATGCCTGGTGCGGAAATTTTTAAAAAATGTTCTGTGCCCCAAACAGCCCAAATTCTTATCTGGGTGGCATTTTAATGCATGCATTAGTATATGAATAAACACATCCTTGGCAAGAGAAAAATAATTTTTTTTTGTTCAGTTAGAAGAGCTGCAAAATATCCCCCTTATCTAGGTATACTCTGAAGGATAACTTGATAGTTCTGCTGTTCCTTTGTTACTTTTCTCCCCTTGTTTGCTGCTGAGGACTGTATTTGTTTTCTCCATACTTGGCCATGGATGTGTTTATTTCAACATCCAACAGGATCATTTAGACTAAGCAGCAGTCCTCAGCCTTGGCTGCTTACATAGAATTGCCTAAGAGTGTTAAAAAATCCCAATAGCCCAGCTGTACACCAAGCCTGTTACATTAGGGTCTCTGGGCATGGAATCCAGGCATCAGTATTTTTTCACGCTTCTGAGGTTGATTCCAATATACAGATAAGTTTGCATGCAGCGGTTTTCAAACTTTTTAACCTTTTAAAAATTATTGATATGAAGACAATTTGAAACAATGCCTCATTCTAATTTATTGTTTTTGAAAATATAGCTATTTTCTGTTTGAAATGTTGTTTTTAACATTATAATAGGTTTATTGTTAAGTGAACTAATAAAGAATCGAATGTTTTCTGTTTTAATCTTTAATACAGATAGAATTCACATAAACTAAAACTCTGGAGTCCCAATCTGTTGTTTGAAAACTATGGCTCTGGAAGTCTACAGAGTACAGGACCTCTGCTTGGGTTGGTTGACAAGCCCCCACCCTCCACCTCCCAACACCATTTCACACTCTCCATTACCTTAGGGCTCTTGCTGCTCTTATTATTATTGACCTCTAGAGGGAGCCCGAGGCCCTGTACGCCAACACCTACTGGCAGGGGGTGGTAAAATCAAGTTTAAGCACCTGTAGGGAGCTATGATTAGGCCAGGAGGATCTTGAGTTCTAAGAAGAAAAGGAGTTAAAGGGCATTTAAATTTTAAAGAATTATCAGTCATTAATTGTTTATATTAATGAGGTGCTGTGTGGTATTTCAACACGTTTGTGGCATGCACTAGTCAAATCTGACAAAGGATTAGTATATAGAACATACAAGGAACTAAAAACAAACAAACTGAGTAACCCAATTAAAGAACAAACAAATGGCCAGGCACAGTATCTCAAGCCTGTAATCCCAGTGACTCAAGAGGCTGAGGCAGGAAGATTGCAGGTTCTAAGTCAGTCTCAGAGACTTAGTGAAACGCTGTCTCAAAAAAAATAAAATAAATAAATAAAAATAAAAAGAGCTGGAGATGTAGCTCAGTAGTCAATTGCTTTTAGGTTTAACATGCAGTACTGGAAAAAAACATATGAATAGATATTTCTCAAAAGAAGAAATACAAATTGCTGATGAATATATAAAAAAATTCTCAACATTGTTAGCCATCAAGGAAATGCAAATCAAACCTATATAACCCAAGTTATAGTGGCTATTACCAAAAAGACAAGAGATATTAAATGCTGATAAGAATGTGGAAAAGAAAATTCTTGTACATTGCTGATGGAAATATAAATTAGTATAGCCATTATGCAGAACCTTATGGATATTCCTCAAAAAGCTAAAAATAGATCTTCCAGGTGTCCAGCAATCCCACTACTTGGTATATCTCTAAAGGGAATGAAATAACCACATCAAAGAGGCACCTGTACTCCCATGTTTACTGCAGCCCTATTCCCCAGAGCTAAGATGAGGAATCGACCTAGGTGCCTGCCGAGGTATGAGTGAAATTAAAGCGTTGTCTTTTTTCATTGTTTTTCCTTCTTCTTCTTTTACTCCCTTTATATCTCCTGAGGCACTTGACATTTTTTTTTGTGGATCTTCCCTCTGTTATTCCTAGTCTTTTGGTGTAATAAAGAAGAAGAAAACTGGAGATCAGAGCAGGAGTAGAACAATGGTCTCTGCCCTTCTTATTCATCAGATTCACCTGGACAATTAGTTTAAAAAGAAACTTCCTGCATCCCTACCAAAAATCTTGATTTTTGTAGGACCAATTATTAAATGAATAAGCATTTAAAAAAAAAAAGTATCCTGGGTAATTCTAATCTGGGTGTTCCGAGGACATGGCTTTGAGAAACAGAGACCTAGGAAAAGAGGCAACCTGGGTCTGCATATCCCAGACAAAGAGAGCCCAAGGCTAAGCAGACTTTATGAGGGTTTGGGTCAACATCACAGTTGCCTACTGTCACTGGATTTCTGTTAAAGGTTCTTGCACAATGCAACCAGAGCTCCTGGGAACTTACTGAGTTCTAAACACACTGCATTCATCATGGGTAGAAAAGTACCTTAACATGTTGTTCTTCTCCCCTTTTTGTCTAGTGTCTCCTCTTTCATGATTTTTCCTGGCTTTCTAATTGTTTCCAATGGAATCACATAAAGCTCATCTAGGACTAAGTAGCTGGACGCAGCAGTACCAGGTGAAGAAATCAATGCCTTCATATGGAGACGGAGAAATATGACTCAGTCAGGTGTGACAGCTGCTGCAGCTGCTGTTGGTTCCTCCTGGGGTCTGCTGAGCAGAATTACAGAAGGCTGGGCTCCCAGATGTTGCCCAAACCATGGCCAATGTTGCTCATGTTCATAGTTAATACTGGAATCTGCAGTTTCCTGTTGCTGCTGCAGCTGCTGCCTAGAGAAGAAAAAATTGGCTTCCTCTCACACTGAGCAGAACCTAACTCTAGGCTTTGGTGATAAGGGAGAATAAGATAATGTCTGAGACGATATATTATCGTAGATTGTGTTGTGTTCTCTACTAGTGGTTTTTCTTACATGAGAAGATTTGAAACAAGACAAGAGACTGAATAAAACACTGCAAAATTTATTAGAAGAGAAAGAAGAAGGGGCAAGGACGGAAGAGCCCTCAATGGAGAGAGAAGGTTGTTGAAAACAACACCTTCACCTCTTCGTATGCCAGCCTTAATTGGAGCATGGTGGGATTGTTAGATGGTCCCACCACGTATCACCTTTGGTGTCTGGACTAGAGATTCCATTAGCTAACAACCTCAGTGCAACTCTGGGTCATCTTGGTCCATGCTGACAGGCCCTAATTGGAATGGGTTTTACAGAATTTATGGTCAGTGGGCTCTGGTCTTAATCATTCTGCTTTCCTAGGTCTGGGAACCTCTGCTATGTGTTGTTTAGGGTCTTGTTTAAGATGTCTTGCCAATTAGGCACTTTTGAATAGACATATCCTTGCCCTTTGATTCTTACTCCCTAAATTTATCTGTCTTCCTCCTGTTGTAAGAGGAATAGTTTATAGGGCTGAGATCAGGCAAGGGTCCTAAAATAGTAATCTTGTCAGACCTTGCAGCACCACCAAAGCAGGGCTATTGATTAACTCATTTGTCTATGCTAAATATTTTCTTAAACTCCTCATTCTCATGTCTAACTGCTACCTCACACTATCAAAGAGACCCAGGAAGTGTGGTTTGCAGGATTTTGACATGGAAGAAGTACATAAGGTTCTGGAGGGCCAACTGCCAATTATCTTTCTCTTTTCTTCCTGTTTTCTACTCCATCTTGCCAGACAGTTTGAGTTTTCTCCAGGGTGGGGAGGAAGATTGGAAAAAGAAAGATCTGACTTGAACTAAGAGTACAGAGAGCACGTTTGCTGATTTCTGAGCATGGCAAAATTGAGAGATGACTTTTTCTTTTGTGGGTGGTTTTGTAAGCCTTTTGCAGGTCCTTTACTGGGCTTCTCTCCCAAGGTCACCTAGGGAGCAGATCCAACATTATTCTGTCTAGTTAGCCCTCCTTATTTGAGATTCCACATCCTCAGATTCAACCAAGAACCAAAACATATTTGGAAAAAAATTTGCATCTATACTAAATAGGTACTGACTTTTTCCTTATCATTATTCTCTACACAATATAGTATAAAAGCTATTTATACAGCATTTATGTAGTGTTAGGTATTATAAATAATCCAGTGATGATTTGAAGTATATGGAAGAATTGTGTAAGTTATATGCAAATACTATATACCTTTTTACCTAAGGGACTTGAGTATCTGCAGATTTTGGTATCCAAGGGTGTCCTGGAACAAATCCCCCATGGACCCCGAAGGATGACTGCACATAACTTGTGGCTTCTTTAGTCCCTATTTTTTCAACCAGTTTCCTGACACTGTGAATCCTCTTCACTTTGTGGAAGCTCAGTTAGAGAGGACCCAAAATGACCCATGGCCTTCTCTGAGTCCCATGTGGCCCACCTCTGGTCTGCAGAAAACATTTGGTTATCACTAATCCATTTTATATTCCGAACCAGAAATGTGTGAGAGTCCCAGTTTCTCTATACTTCAACAATAGTTACTGTAGTCTGCTTTAAAAGAAAAAAAAAATCATAGCCATCTTAGGTGTGTGAAGTAGTAGTGTGTGAAGCTCATTGTAGTTTTTAATTTTATTTCCTTAATTGATCAATAGCATTGTCACCTTTCATATGATTGTTGACCATTTGCATACCTTTTGGGGGGAGAAATTTCTATTCAAATTCTTTGCTTATTAAAAATTGATGATTTTTTTTGTTGAATTTTAAGTCTTATTTAAATATTCTAGATACAAACCCCTTACTAGAGAGGTGATTTTCTCTCTTCGTGGATACTCTTATCACATTTTTTATATTTTTTTAATTTTTGATGTTATCCAAAATTTTTCAATTTTGATAAAGTCCAACTTGTTTATTTTTTTTCTTTAAATGTGAGTCTCTTTTTGGACTCAATCCTACTCCATTAATCATTCTATCTACCTTTATGCTGGGATTACACAGTCTTGATTACTGTAGCTTTGTAGTAGGTTTTGAAGCCACAAAGTTTGAGTTCTTCACTTTTGTTCTTTTTTTTTTTAAGGCTGTGTTGGTTAATTTAGGTCCCTTGGATCTCTATATGAATTTTAGGATCTGTTTGTCAATTTCTGCAAAAAAAAAAAATGCAGCTGGGATTTTGATGTAGATTGTGTTTAATTTGTAATCGGTTTAGAAACTATTGCCATTTTTAATAATATTAAGTCTTCCAATCTATGAAAATGAGATACATTTCAATTTATTTAGATCTTCTTTAATTTCTTTCAGTAATGTTTCCTGTGTACAATTTTTCTGCTGAATTTATCCATATGTATTTTATTCTTTATACTATTAAGGATGACATGATCTTTGTATTTCACTGTTGAATTTTTCATTACTAATGTATAAAAATGTAACTACATTTTCATATTGATTTTGTATCCTGGAAATTTGCTGAACTTGTTGATTAGTTATAATCATGTGTGTGTTCTTTATAATTTTTAATGTTTAAGATACATAAGATTATTTCATCTACAAGTAGAGGTTTTTTTTTTTTCCCCTTCTTCTTCATTTCCAATCTGGATGCTTTTTTATTTATTTTTCTTCCATAAATGTTTTGACAAGAATTGCAAGTTCAATGTTGAATAGAAGTAGTGAAAGAAAACATCCTTTTTTCCCCCAACCTAAGCTTAAGAGGAAGCATCTAGGTTTTCATGGTTAAATATGACCTAATCTTAAGTTTTTCATAGTTGTCCTTTATCAGGCTTAAGAAGTTCCCTTCTGTTTATAGTTTGATGAGAATTTCCACCGTGAAATGCTGTTGAATTTTTTCAAATGCTTTTTCTGTATCTATTGAGATGATTATGTACCTTTTTTTAAATCAATGTAGTATATTACATGATTGATTTTAAAATGTCTAAGTAGCATTCATGGGGAAAAATAATAGTCATGGTGTATAATCCTTTGTATATGTGGCTGGTTTAAGCTTACAAGTGTTTTATTGAGGTTTGCACATAAAATCATTGAAAAATGTTTGTTGAACTAATGCATGCATACATGAATGAAGGAGTGCTTAGAGTGCAAAGACCTCCCTCATACATAGTCCCTTAAATACATGCATACAAATTTTACACATAACTTCCAGGAAATTTAAAAACATCAGATTAAATAGCCTTAAAAATTTTGATATTGCCAAATGATCCTGTAGAATGATAGTGGTTATGTCAAAGTAAGAAAAAAAATATACTGATTAGAATCAAAGGAAGGAGGCTGACAGCCTTGTTTTCTAATTCATAGGTGAGAGAACTTATTTTGACAGCCTCTGTTTCTTCATCCATAAAATGGATGGGTGGTCAGGGAGCTTGGGGAAGGGTACTTTTGAGTTGATACCTTGCACATAGCTGTAACAATCCACAAATCTCTAAAATGCCATGTAAAATTTAGATTTGAAGAGAATTATTTTGCATGTTTTAAAATTCTTATTTAATGTCTCTGAGGTTATTGTGGAGGCAAAAATATATACATTAGTTCAACACAGTATGGTAAACACAAATCTATTTATAGAAGCACAGAAAAGAAAGTGGGTAATCCCCTTTAAGGGTATCTGATTAAACTTTAAGAAAAGATGGCATTTGAGCTGAGTTCTGAGAGATAAATAGGGGTTTGCAAGTTACAGAAGGCAGGACAGTGAGAAGATTTTTTTTCCTATATTTCTGCTTCTGTTTTCTGTTCATAAGTTTGTAGCTTAAATTTTTCAAGAAGCATTTTTTAACTTCCTTTCTAAAGTGTTCTCATAAATAATTTGTGAAAGAACAATTCCTTGGTCTTAAGATGGAATTTTGTATATACATAGAGAGTTCTAGTGTGTTCTTATCTTGCTGCTGAAATTCGAATTTTCTGGACTGTGCATGTGATTAAAGTTAAATTGACATGTGGTGTGACTACACATCGTGTACAACCAGAGAAATGAAATGTTGTGCTCCATTTGTGTACCATGAATTGAAAAGCTTTCAATGTGTATGTATAATATCATGTTGCTGGTTTTCAATGTCATATATAAATGATTAGAACTAATAAAAAATAAATTTTAAAAAGTTAAATTGAACAGTCAATAACACCTGTAATTTTAGGTATTTTTAAATAATAAAGTCTTTTGGGTGTCAGAATGGGTCTTTAGTAGAAGTGCACATTTCATTCAAATTTCATGTCAACACTATTGTCATGACAACAATGTTCCAGCAGAGGGCACACTTTTAAAATTAATTTCCTTCATCACATCCTTTTTCAAGGACTTTGATATTTTTGTTTTCATTGCTACCATGATGTATCTAGAGTGCAGGAAGTGGGAATTATATAAAATAAGGTTGATCCCTAAGTCTTAAACAATAACAAAGGGAACACTTCTCCGAACAGAATGAAAATGAGTGGTAGTACCACTTTGCTGTATGGAACCATCAACAAAGATTGTGTACAAACATAAAAGGTAAGGGAAGATTAGGCAAGTACTTAGAACAACTAGACAGAAATAATGCTTTTGAACACACTTATGCTCAAATGAAGATTGATACTTCAAATGAAGATTGCTTTGACCTAGTTTTAAAAAGTTGCTTAATTTTTCTTTGCATTTAAACTTATTTATTTGTACTGTGGATGGAACCCAAGTGCACTCTACCATTGAGCTACATTCCAGACCTTTTAATTATTTATTTTGAGACAGAGTCTGGCTAAATTGTCCACATCCTCCCAAATTGCTGGGATTAAACATCTTTCTATAGATAGACTAATGAAAAAGTATTGATTATGACTGTATGTATTCATTATGGTGGGGTATACAGATAAAAAAAATATAAAGTTGTCATTTAAGATAATTAAGTTGTATACCTATAAGATTTTTTGTTCGTTGGTTGGTTGATTGGTACTAGGGATTGAACCCAGGGGTGCTTTACTACTGAGCTACACCCCCAGCCATTTTTATTGTTTACTGTAAGATGAGGTCTTACTAAATTGCTGAGGCTGGTCCCAGATTTGCCATTCTCCTGCCTCAATTTCCTGAGTTACTGGGATTTCAGGCTTGGACATCACACCTGGCTTCTATAAAACAAAATCACTTGGTCTTGCAACTCTACTCCTGCGGGTGGAAGATCATATGCTCAAGGCCACAGTGTGTGTCACGAGGCCTTCCATTTCCTGGAGAGAGGCCAGCTTCACTCCTTTCATTTGAAAACATTTATCATGGAGACACAGGTCTCAAACTAACAAAAAAGACTTTTCTTCATGGGAACATTAATGAATTAATGAATCTTGTAAATTACCCACACTTTCCACTAAGTAGCTACCAAATTACAGCAGTGATATCTATATAAATATTAATTAATTTGATTCAGCAAATACATAATGGGCACTTGTTCTATACAGGCATCCAGTTTAGGCACCGTGAACAGAACAGGCAAGAACCTCTGTCCTGCTGGAGCCTCCTCCATGTATGTGGAGGACAACAGTCACTGGGTTTTCTTCTTTTTGCTTGTTTGCTCATTTAATAGGATATAAGAATCCTTTAAGGAAGTTTATGTTTTTCCACTTAATATTTACTTAGAAACAATGATGAAATTTATGAGCCCTTAAATAAAAATGTCATTTAAAAAAATGTTGTCTCACTCTTGGGCAAAGTTTAATTAACAAGTCAGTTTTGTTCATGGTCAATGCTAGTTATTCAGCACATGTGGCAGAGAGAGAGAGAGGCCAAAAGGTAAATATGAAATACTTAAAGTGGCTGCTGGTTTGTTCTGTAGCTTCACCATTGCCTCCAAAGTTTCTTTTTCTCTCTTTTTTTTCCCGAAAGTTATTCTCTATCATGTCTTACATATACTTAAGGACAAATGGCCTTTAATAAGCATTTAATAGTAACTAACATTTGTACAATGTTTTTAGTTCACAAACTCTTTTTTCATTTGAAATATCCATCCACAGACACTATTTTCATTTTGCAATTGAGGAAATTAAAGTTCAGAAATTAAATTAAAGTTACCTATTCCAAGTTGCAAAACTAACAAGAGGCATAGCTGGGTTTTCTGTACCCAGATTGCAAGAACTTTTCCTGTTGGGCGAGGTGGGGGTGGCACATTCCTGTAATCACAGTTACTGGGGAAGCTGAAGCAGGAGGATCCCAAGTTTGAGACCAGCATAGGCAACTTCATTAGACCTGTCTCAAAATAAAATAAAAGAGACTAGGGACATAGCTCAGTTCTTGTTAGCATGTGCAATGCCCTAGGTACAATCTCCAGTATGGAAAACAATAACAAAATAAACAAACAAGACCCCCAAATCCTTTCCCCTAGGCTGCTTCGTCCCCTTCTGTTTAGAAAATGAAAGCATCACCCAGTTTTTTTAGCTGTCCGTAGGCATGTCCAGGAAATAATTATAATTATTAAAAAAGATATGAGCAAACTTTAAAATATTTTATATTTTTAAAAAATCTGTGTAAATTCCTGAATCCCTAAAGGTTATTGATATTAATCATTAACATCATTGGTATAAATTACACCCAAAGTCTACTTCCTGTTTTGTCATCTCTAACTATATACTATAAAAACACTTCCACATGAGAAACAGGGATGGGAATATCTTCCAGATATTCTAAATGAAGGCTATGTTTAGATATAAAAACTTTCAACACTGTTTCTAGCTCAGTCTCTATTTAATGTAAGAGATATCCAATAAATAGATAAATAAATAAAGTCAGAGATATCAATATGAAATACGGTAGAAAATTTAGATGTGAAAACAAAGAATAGTGCTGGTCCTCCATTAAAATAAAATATTGAGGAAACTCTACTCCAAAACACTAAAAATGGCCAGCTTTAGGAAAAGAGAGCAAGGAACTCACAGAGCTGGTGCAGGATGTGAGGCAGAGCTGGGTATTCAACAAGCATGCAGGGGGCCTTGTGTCTTTGAGTAACTAATTCACATTTTTGTAATTCTGAATGACTGTGATTATATTCTGGCACCTGATGGTGTCCACTAAAGCAATGCCCAAGGTGGACATTGGCTGGTCTTTCAGCCTGTGCAAGGAGATATCAGACTGAAGAGAAGAAAGGGAAAGAAAAAGAAGAAAAAGAACAGAAGATGAGGGGCTCCTGGTACACACAGCCCTTGGGAGCTCCACCTGTGCCTGGATGTCCCAGCCCTAGGCTAAGAGGAGACAGGACTAAATTTCTATGTGTGTGTCCTTCTCACTTTCTGTCAAACTCTTGTGTGTATCCCAGACCCACTACAAACATTACGTGGTCCAGGACAAGAATACATAGGAGTTCATGTGCCTTATAGCTCAGTATTTAAAATGTGCAAGTCAAGTGAATGGCTGATAAATGGTGGACCTTGACAAATATGCCTTTATAACAATGACCAAGTGGGTCAGATTTGGATTTAAAATTATTAGACTCCTCAAAGTTCTATTTTGGAACTAGGTGACACAGGGGAGCTGAGCCCTTGCCCTGCAGGGATACTACTTCTCTTCCCGCCTCTGAGCACTTTGCCATGAAGGAACCCATGTGGGGCCTGATGCGAGTCGACTCTGTCCACACCATGCAGGCAGCAGGTGCTTGGTTCCTCAATGGCTAGAGGTTTTCATACCAGCAGGCAGTCTCCTGTCCAAAGATAGACTTGGGGACAGGGTATGCGGAGGCCTCAAGATCCTTGGTGAAGGTGCCAGATGTCTCTAATCCCAGTGAGTCAGGAGGCTGAGGCAGGAGGATTACAGGTTCAAGGCCAGCTTCAGCAACTTGGTAAAGCCCTGTCTCAAAATAAAAAAAAGGTTGATCACAGTCATTCAGAATTACAAAAATGTGAATTAGTTACACACACATGCCTGCACACACAGAAAAGATCGTTGGCGAAGACTGGGAGGAGATTGCTGGATTCCGGATGGACACACCCCTTAGACCCCATATATTCCTAGCTTCATAGGAGGGCTATGTCATGGAAAGAGCCCAAACAGAATTCTCTAGGTTCCATGTCCTAGGACAGGGACCCTCCTTGCCTAGGACTAAAAGTGATACTGCTGTATCCTAGTATCTGCTCAATTTTCTAATCGTGTGAAGTGCATAGAATTTTCTCTTTCAAATTGCCTTAGAGGCAGGAGCTGGTGTCCTGCTACCCAAAATGTGCTACCAATGCACATGCTACTGACTCTGCTGCTTTCCGGTGAACTGTGCTAATAAAGCACTTATTAAATAAAATTCAATTCCCAGCATTCTGTGTGGTCAGACATCACCGAATGAAATTGCTTTTTATTGTCATTGACTTTTGCTGGTCCAGCCCTTTGGTCTTGGTTCATCTTCATACATGCTGGCTGGCTTGCTTTCTCTCATTTCATTTTGAAAACTTTGGACTTGCTCAGTCATTGGGTTAATGTAAAATTAATTGTGCAGTTTCTTTGCTTGCTTCAGTAACATATAACTTATCATTTTTAGACATTTTCAGGTTATAATTATGTGAAAACACACTGAGAAAGAGCATGCATTTCTATTCTCCCCAAGACTCTGTTCTCCCTGAAAACTCTGTTCTATAAGCTATTTAGAACAGAACTTCTTGGTGTGGGAGTCAAGGGTTTTATTTCTTTCATCCCTTGGCCAGCTGATGAATCAGCCTGGGTTGGCGAGAGCTCAGTGCCATCAAAATCTTACCTTAGCATTCTCTAAATAGGCCCTGGAGCTAAAGAGGTTAAGGAGCTTTGCAAAAGTAATTTTACTTTGGATGTGTCTGGCGATAATGTGTTCAGGGTCACTCTAAATTACTAACATGAGCTCTATTCCTGTTTCCTCCAATTCAGCAGCTTGCTTGCTTCAGTCTTCTGAAATGCCTTCCTTTCCTCTTTTCAGTTTTTTCCCTGATTTACCTGTCCTGCAGTGCTTGCCTAATTCATTCACTCATCGGATATATTCAGATTCCAGACGGACACACCCTAGGCATCAAACCCACCTTTTCCATGAAGCCCTGAAACCATCTTTGACTCATCTGGGTAACTGTGGGCTTTCTCTCCCTATTTGGAATTCAGAAGGTCTTTCATTCCCACTATTTATTTACACCAGTGCCTTGTTATTTCAGTTC